CCCCAGCACTTGCAAGCCCTGGGATGGGCCGGAACAGCCATTACCCTCTGCAGACGGTCACCCAGGACACACAGCTTTGTGAGACACAGGCTGGCATCTCTGCTCCTGAGCCAAATCACGGCTAAATCACCGAGTGCTAATGAGGAACTGTCTCTCAGGCTGTCATGCGCTGCAGAACGTCACCTCTGCTGCCTCTCAGGGACAACTTGCTCTCCTCCAGGAGCACCAGCACCACCATAGCCCTCTATCTACCACAGCCATCGCTGCCTCCAGCCATGTACTTTGAAAGTGAGGGCTATTACCCTAATCTGAACCTTCCTCTCTCCTGTGACATTGGCTGTGGTGAATCATCAGTTAGTAAATAGTATTTCTCAAGCGATGGGTGCAGCACTTCCGACGGCACTACAGGCACATTTCCCTTTACGCCAGTTCTGGAGAACTGATCGACAGAAACGCGCAGAAACCATCGGCTGAGTAATGCGAGCGTAGAGCACACACTTTCTCCAGAGAATCAGCATCCTGCTTATCTGCGCTGCAGCAGGTGCTGGTTTGCTCAACGTCCAGCCTAGAAAACTTAGATTTCTGCTCTTACCATTTGCGTTCAATCTTCCTCTAAACTAGTGTCCAGAGCAGCCTGAGCCCTCAGGAAAAAGCAAGCAGGCTGACATGCAATTAATAGGATTAGTCCCCTCTGCGGTCAGTCTTTCGGAGCTACGTTCCACTTGCCACAAGCTGATTAGCTGTCTGCCCGAGGAGGAGCTGGGACAGATTTCCTTCTGTCGGCAGTGGAGCAGAGAGGCAGGCTCTGACTGCAAGAATGTGCTGTTTCCTGTGAGGTGCTTCCCAATGGAAAAGGGTTTGCAGGAGCACGAGAGCTCAAGCTCCACCTCTTCCACGGAAGGGACTGTAACTCCCGAGGAGGAGTCAGCAGCACGGCTACCAGCAGCCGAATCCGCACCACCGAATCCGCACACCACGACCGCGCTTCACTTTCACTAAAGCGTTGGAAAGAAGTGAGCTACTCACTGCTCCAGCGAGGGGAAGGTTCTTCCCTGGAATTGCAGGGCTCTCAATAAGATGGGACGGGAAGTGGATGTTGAAATCGATGTAAAAAGTTACCCGAATGGGGGTGAAAGTCCATCCCGCCCTTCGTTAGATGTAAAGGGAAGATGGTTCCAAAACCACCGTGTGAAAACGAGATGGAAACACAGAATTGTAACGCAACCATAAAGAGCTGGTGTCCTTCCTAGGCCCTCTCCTATTTATACAGGTACTCTGTTACTGTTAAAGAAAACACGGGATTTTTTTCCCCTTTTGCTGCGTACAGATCCTGCCCAGGCTGGGACAGGGTCAGTGAACTAGGAAGGACTCTGTGCACTCCGTGCATTGATGTCGAGCACCGCTGGCAAGTTTTTGGAAGGAGCAGATGTCCAGCCAACATACCAGCCTGAGGGTTAAGAACTTGTTTGCCCAAGATTTACAGATGTGGGCCTAAGGAGCTGACCCCACATCATTCTGAGGACTCCTGGGGGAACATCCGTGGTGGCCAAGTACCTGCATGAGCAAGAGGCCAACAGGGTGATCAATGCCCTGCTGAAGCACCAGCTCCATCAGGGAGCGTGGGCAGGCCAGCTTGTTCACATCTGAGACGTGGATAGAGGTGCCATCTGGGGAAGAGTAGTCCTCAAAAGCCAGGATCTGTGGCAGATAGAAGTCGTTCTCCTGGAGCTTCAAGCTGCTGCAAAACTTCACTGTCCAAGAGCCACTGTTCAAGGGCAGAAGTGAAGCATGACTGGGAAGATCCAATGTGCCCAGTGCGAGCAGAGAGCTTCTCATTTTTGAAAACCACGGGGTTTTGGAGGGGATGGCTGCAAAGAGCTGCTCGGAGTTAAGCTCAGGCTGTGACCCTGCCCATGCTAAGCGGCTGGGTGCATTTCACAAGGAGCCTAAGTGCATGCAAACAGCGATGTCAAAAATCCAGGCAAAAAGCTCACCACCAGCTTTTAAGAAAAATGTGTCCAGGGCACCAGGACAGACAAACTCTCAGCCAGCAATACGTACTAAACCCACCAGGCTCCCCAGAAGAAACTCTCTTTACAAGGCAGAGATTTTACATCAGCAAGTCCAACCAAACTAGGAGCACAAATGGCAGGAGCTGCCTTGTCTCCACAGAAAGGGAAAGGAAGGGAGAACTTCCAAGCATGCTGAATCCGGCAGTACTGAAGCATCCAAATGGTGCTAACCAGAACCGACTTCTGTTCTGTTCTCGTTTGGTAAGAAAACAGGGTGCCCAAGTTCTGGATAAACTACAAGGTGAGTCTGGCAATGCAAAATAATTCACTGCTCTCAAATCTGAGCAGACACTGGTCAGACAAATCTCCAGACATTGGTCTAGAGAGCATCGTAATGATGCCAGCAACGCCTCACAAAGATGATGCACCTCTGGTACACAACACGGACTGGCTACGAGGGCCTGTTCCGTACCAGATTTGTTGGGAAGATTGTCCTGGTGCCACTCCAAGGATTGGGATGGCACCGGAGGTGGTTTTCACCTGGTGTATAGCAGGCCCGGTGAAAGGTAACAGCCCTAGGAAAATCCACTGGTTGAAGACTTGGGAAACTAAGGGACTTTACATGGAAAGAACCAATCACTTCCAAAGAAAATTAACTTTGGAAACAAATGACTTTGAAGGATAGAGATGGCAGAAAAGTAATAAAAGTAGCAAATATTCCAACTCAAGTTCTCCTCAGGGCAGAGAAGCTGCTGTATGATTTGTTCCTAGAGGCTTCCTGTTAATGCTAAGTAAGTTTGCAGCCGCAGAGCCTGACCTAAAAAGAACAACAGCTAAATATAAAGCTTTTCCTTACACCTCTCATGGGACACAGCTGCACAGCCTCGTAAGCTCAGAGATGCCCCCGCTACATTTTCCCAGCCCATCCTATGGTCATTCCCTTAGCCATGAGTAACAGTCCTATAAATTGTCCTGACTATCCCCAGTACAAACAGGACACCGACAAAATCCGTGCAAGACTGAGTTATTAAACAATAGCAGAACCTATATTATATTCTCTTCTTTTGAGAGGAAGAGGTCTGTATCCTAATAAACTCACTTTTCTCTCTCCTACCTGCTGACTGCGAGCAATTAGCTGTCAGATTTCATCCAATGTGAAAGGCTTACTGGCACCTGCATTTCTGCACCTAATTCTTCCATATATGCAACATGATCTTCGTTGGCCCTGTGTCCCTGCTCTATATTCTAAGCTTCATTCCTACTCTTCTAACCCCAACCTGTTCATACGAGGATTGCACCTTCTGTTCTCCAGACACATCATCTCATGCCTTGAGCAGTATAGCTGCAGTGGAGGAGTTTCATCTCAAACAGCCTTTGTGAATCAAAAGCTACCAGCCTCCAACGAAGAACACATAGAAAGGAAAACAGAACATCTGAAACGTGAGAACAACTGTGTCTGTTACAAGCAACAAATATTTGATGTTTCAAATTCAGGATGCAAACTTGATAGTGAATCCCTCTGATACAAAACAGGGAAAAAACGCATCAAAGAACTCAGATTTTTACAGAGCAACTGAGCTGGGAAGATCAGTGGGAAACAAGAGTGCTCAGAAAGGAAACCAAGAGAAAATTGCAAAACTGCAAGGAATCCAAAACACTGATGTCAGTGATGTGGCAGACCAAATAGCAGCAAAACCAGTCAACCTCTTGATTTGCAAAATATTTTTATAGCTCATGGTGAACCACAGACAAACCCCTCAATGAGCCATGAGGGCTAGAGCAGATAAATCAGGAGCAGACAGACATTTTTCCTGGGGTTTACCTGAGCCCGGTGACACGGCGTGGAGCTGACACCGTGCTACCTGTGTATCTGCCTCGTGACTGGCCTGCAGCCTCTGGAACCTGACACCAGAGGCATGGAAGCAATCTGAGAGGAAAAGAGCTATTTATTTCCTTTTGTCCCTACAACAAATGCATCTAGTGTCTCTGACAGGGATTAGATGTTTCCCAGTTACAACAGTAACTTCGGGAGGCTTCAGAAAGGCTCCTGCTCTTCACTAAGCTCAGCACTCACATTCTGGGGCCAAGCACAGTCAGGCTCCAGCTCCTGTCCTGCACAGGAGGCTTCTTCCCACATGTCACTTAGGAAGCACCTGCACCCCGGGAACACGAGCATCTTTACCCCCTTCTACCAAGACTGGAGAAAATGAAGGACTGACACTGCCACTGCTCAACTGTAAATATTTAAATACATTTTCCTTATCTAACAAATACCATAAAGCAGTTCATTCAAACTACTTCCATGCAACTCCTTTCAGTTACTGCTTTTGCTTTCCCACTATACACAGACTAGTGTGCATATACAAACACACACACATCCTATATATCAATAAAATCAGAGAAATAAGTTTACATATTTTAAGGACTGAAGGGAACACCAAATTCCTTCAACCTGACCTCCAACATAATCACACATACCACCCCTAATTCCCTCAGCAGAACAAATTTTTCTGCACCACTATGTAAATGGATTCTGTCAAATCCTACTAGCTTATAGGTAAGAACATCCCTGAAGGCAAAGCTTTAGCACCATATATAGCAACCCAACATATTTTCCATGTGCATGGACTTA